AGTAAATTTAACACTTACAGAACGTTTTACAAAGCCTCAGTAAAGGGTAATATAGACATGTAGGGTTCAGAATGAATAAGGACTGTATAGAACATGACATTTTTCTGCATCTCCTGTACATTTACAGGAAGGGTTTTTTTGGTGATGTGAAATGTTTATTTACTTTTAGTGTTTTTCCATATTTCAATGCGGATTTAATGTGGATTTAATTTTCCATGTGGTTTAATCAGTCCATCAACTGGTAATATATGAACCAGTGCATCGCCTGCAAACTTTTCTCATGTACAGTGAAGCAAAACTGGAGGTAATTCATTGGAAATTATTACGTTTTATGCAAAGGAAGGAGAAAAATTGTTCAATTGTGTTCTAGATATGTACCCAGCAAGTGCATACTTGGCCTCACTTACACAACAAGCACAGCTAAAGTGAAGTATTACCTTATAATCACAATATGGAGTCCTCAAGTAGAGCATGAGTAGTTAAAACTGTCTCCTTTTCCCTCCCAAGAAAGGGGAGAGCTGATGTCTAATGTTTGTTTTATGGCACTATATTTTTAGCTTTCATTTAGTTTTGCCTCCACGTTTTTAATGGAAACCAAATGAATTTAGGCTGTGCCTGAATTTTGTCTTAACAAAGAATTCCATTGATACAGAGTTTAAGACCCATCAGAGTTTGGTAGGAAAGAGCAGCTCCCAAACATGCCCAGTGGGAGAGATCTTTGCATTTATCTTTATGTGGATCTGAACATACAGATAAAAATAAGAAAATACGTCAAAATCCTATCTATACAAACAGATTGTAAGGATAAAGTCTTGGGTTTGGGCTTATTTTCCACCATTATAACTGGAATTTTGTGTGCTTGGTGCATAAGTCTCATTGTTTGATAGAGCCCAGGTGCAAATAAAATCTTCTCCATGAGGAGCTGTAATTTGGTGTTATTTTATACTACAACAGAGAAAGGTTCACAGGCAGCTGGGTTTTGTCTCCCATGTCTCCCTCTTTTCTCCTCCTTGTTCAATCTCAACCCTAAGTGAGGGAAAAGCGAAACTAATGATTATGAAATTAAGAAGAATTTTAAACAGCAAAAGAAAACTTCTGCTGCTCTGGAGCAGTTTCTTCACACACCTGACCAAGCTCTTAAAATCTCAGCAAGCAGATGTTAAATCATAAACAAAATACAGCTTTTACTCTTCCTTCTTTATGTTACAATTACCACACTGACCAATTTGTGCTGGAGGAGCTGAGAGTGCGTAGTGGCTTAATATTCTGTCTGTGAAGCTATTGAAACTACATTGTGCTTTTACCATTTAAAATAGGGGTAGAAACATTTTCTCATAGTGAATATTAAACTTCTGGTTGAATATTTTTAGCTGTGAGAAGCTGATTAACTCTCCTGTATCCAAGTTGTTTGGTTGACATGTCAAATTTCATTTTCTTGCTTTGAGAAAGAGGGGGAAAGTCTTTGCCTTTGGGAATGTACATAAAAAAAGTGTGGTTTGAAAAAAAAACAACCCTACAGTTTTATAGGAAATAATGGTCTTAACCTGAAGGAGGGCAGGGTTGGATGGGATATTGGGAAGAAATTCTTCCCTGGGAGGGTGGGGAGGCCCTGGCCCAGGTTGCCCAGAGAAGCTGTGGCTGCCCCTGGATCCCTGGAAATGTCCAAGGCCAGGCTGGAACGAGCTTGGAGCAACCTGGACTGGTGGAAGATGTCCCTGCCCATGGCAGGGGGATGGAAAAAGTTGATCTTTAAGGTCCCTTCCAACCCAAACCATTCCATGATTCTGTTATTCTGTGCAATTAAATTTGGCTTGACTTTAGTTCTCCCACCCCAAACTGATGAATAACAATTTCAGAAGGTATTTGTGCCACCCTAAAACAAGTGTAATTATTATATTTACAAAGGGTGAAAGCGATGGGGTGGGTAACACAGATTTTATAGGACTGTGTGTGTGAGTAGCTGCACTCACTGTCAGTATTTGAACACAAAAGAGCTGCAGCTTCTTGGATCATGTAAAGCTTGTACTGCATCTTTCAGGGTTTAGATAATTCTGCACTTCCAGGGAAAGCAGTGGACAGGAATTTGGGTGTTTTCTTGCCTTGGGTTGGCTGCCTGGACACACCTGGGCTGGTCCCAGAAGGTTCCTGACCCAACACTTCTCGTTGGAGTGGCCACCAGAGGTTGCTGCAGAACGGCGGATGCCGTTTGGAGTAGGAGAGGTTTTGGAATTCCGGCTGAATCCTCAGTTTAAAAAAATCACACGGTTCAGGTTCTGACATGAATTTATTCCTTTTCAGTGGAGTTGAAGCAGAGGTTTACCCTGTTTCTTATATAAATTTATTTCATTGAGTAATAATGTACTTTTCTGTGTGCCACTATAATTGTGGGGACCACAACACATCCATGTTTCCTGAACTTTGTGTGAAGGAAGTTCTTACAGTAAAAATTAATTTTTCTAGCGTGTATTTGACCAGCACTTGAAACTTTGCTTTGTTGAAAATGTAAACCCCTATTTTCTTAACGGTTTTTAAAAATCCCTGTCCTTGATTACGAATTCCTCGTGTTTGTATTTTTGCTCAGCTCAGTAAGCACGTGGACGGACGTTGTGGGGGAAAAATTAGCTTGATAGTTATACACATATAACAATTCTTAAGGGGTTCAGTATGTGTTAGAAGCAAGAAAATTAAATCAAAGAGTAAACCTAAAAAGTATGAGGAAAAATCACTTGAAAGAATATAGTCAAGTGTGTATATATATATATATATATATATAATATATGCAGTCATAAGTGGTTGAAATTTTGTGGCATATTTGTACTAATGTAACATCACACATAAATAGATGCTCTTTTGCTCTCTTAAGAAATTATTTTTAGGTGGCAAAAGGGCACCAGAATTTCTGACCCAGCCTCAAGCACTTTGATTGTTTGGAATGTAACTGTACTTAGCACCTTTGTTTTGTAACTTTAATTTCTGTAAGACTGTAAACACCTCGTTGTATGAGTTACAAATTCTGGTTTTGTGTCTAGGACTTGCACACCCAATTCTGCTGAGAAAATTTCTGGATTTGAAAAACAGGCATTTTCTGATTAAGTAGTTTTTCCCTGACAAAAACGAAAGCTGTAATTTTTCTAAATATGGGATATTACAGCCAATAAGTTGCTGTGTGTATGTGAAACAAGTAGGATAATGTGTGAAGAATTTGTCAGCAGTCTGTCAAAGCTCTGGTGTTACACTGAGGGAAGGAACAAGTGCTTCAGGCAAATCAAGTCAAAGAAATGCTCACAAAACCTTTAATTATTATCATCATTTATGATGTATATGCAGAAAAAGGGAAGGGAAGAAAATATTTAAAGCATATTTTATTTAAAAAGTTAGAGTTCAGAGGGAGCTTTAGAAAACCAAGAAATGAGAAGTAGTTTCTCTATAATTACAATTTAGTTACTGGGTCACTCTGAGGTTGTTCTGGGGCTTAGAAGTGATGGAATTTGGGAAGAGAACCTTCCTTTCTTTGTGTCCTTCTCGACTACTTGTGCTGCAAAGCAGCCCCTCTGCTGACACTCAGCACACAAAGAACGTCACAGGAGCAGCAGTGTCCCTGTGAAATTTGAGAATATGCAGCTCCTGAGGGTGGAAAATCTGTAGAAAGGTGTTAAGAGCAGGACCACTTCTCTCATTCCTTCCTCAGGTGTAACAGCGGGATGTGGAAAATCGGAGTCATTCCTTGGATAGATAACTGTTTGGAGGAAGTTTGCTCTTAGTTTGTGGTTTGTGGGTTTGAAAGAGTTGAGCTGGAGCTCTGAGACCTCTCGTTCAGGGGCAGGAGAGCTCAGTTCTGTCCTCAGCACTCACGGAGGGAATGCTCATATTCCAGTTCCCAGATACGGCCCTAAATGGGAAGGAGGGGAATGTGTTTGCTTAGAACTTTTTTATTTAAAAGTCACAGGTTTTCCCCTTAAAATTTTGAGGGCAGAAATCCTTAGTGAATTATTTTCAGTGGAATTGAAACCACTTTTTTTTTTTTAATGGTTTCATTTATCACAATAAAAGACGACTTTGACCCTCCGAAATTTAAGCTACGAGAAGTCCCAGCGTCTGTGTTTGTGGGCTCTTAAATTTACAGTTTCCAAAGACAGGGTAAACATTTCACATCAAATTTATCAAAGTAGAATTATTTATCTCCAGAAGGAGTTCTGTGAATGTGTGACAGTTGTTTCTGGGGTGCCACTACACAGGTAATAATTGTAGTAAATCATCCGTTAGCTGAAGGTGTGAGCCATTTGAGCAGATGTTCTGCTGAGGAGTCGGTAAATGCTTTTCTTACCTGCTGCTTTATCCTTCAAATCCAGCTTTGGTGATGGACTGAAGGGCTTCTTCCAGCAAAGAATCTCAGCATGTTGAAAAACCCGCATGATACAGATGAATGTGTGCACTCCAGGCTTCAGGAAAACCACTACAAACCCTCTTATAGGGAAAAATTAATCTTAATTAACCTGCAAACGAGCATGATCTCAAACCTAGGAGGACAACACCAAGTAGTCAGGCCAGGCTGGACTAGAACAAGCAGCAGAACTTGATCTTTGAAGCTGAAATGGGGTTAATTTTCCTGTTTGGAAGTAGAAAACGATTGCTTGAATAAAAACGTTCTCGGAAAAAACGTTTCTATGTCTCCACGTGGGGGGAAATCTGTATTTCTCACTTTATTTCCCTCCCCTGCAGGAAATCCACCTTGCTTTCCTTAAGTGGCTGGAGGGAAATGTAGATGCTGAAGGATTAAGGGCATCCAGCAAGGTGTCCCTTAAATTCGTGTCGTCCTGTGACTCCGAAGCGGAGGTGACTCCGTCTCTCATGCCGGTGGTCACGGAGATGGGAAGTTTCTCCTCGGAACATTTCAGCCTGAAGACGTATCAGCAGAACCTTCAAACCAAGAAGATGGGGAAGATTCTGCTTTTCTCTGAGGTTACTACCAGCACAATGAACCTTCTGGATGGGTAAGAGAGAGATCTAGACCATCCCAAATTGGCTTTGCCATCGGGGATTCCCAGTTACGGTAACGCGCGACGTTCAGAAAGAAACTGGACGCAAAATGAAACCTTTGGGTTCACAAAATACTGATTTGTGATGTATAAAATACTGAACCATAAAGGGTGGGAAGATCTGAGCGTGACAACTTCGTGTTTGGGGGTGGAGTTTAATCTATTCTTCTTGCAAAGCATGAACATCACTGGGAAAGTTTGAGGTGATAAATATGAATGTTTGGAAGTTTAAATGCATTTCCTGGCACAAGTTATTTTCTAGTACAAGTTATTTTCTAGTACAAGTTATTGTCTAAACTAACTATTTGACAAAAGTGGTACCGAGGAGATTCTGTCCTTAATTTTAACATCACTGTTTTCTCTCATTTCTTTTGCTGCAAATGTCACTAAAACGCCCTTCAGTGGTTCGTCTGGGTTTTTAAAACGTGGATTAGGGGATATGGAAGAAGTTCTTTCATCATCACACAGATGACCCTTGTGAATGAGTTGTGGGATACCTTTGAGAAGGTTGTTCTTTAGAGTTTAAATGGGATTAAGTGATATGAAAATCACAGCTACTAAATCTCAGGCTGGAGTCTGTGTACAAAGGCTGCACTGTTGTGTTTCATGGAAGTCTGATGGAAAAACCTGTCTTTGGGAAGTTGTTGCTCTTCAGGACAGATTGTTCCATGAGTGTTTCTACCTGTAACTTCTCCTGGCAGTTGCTTTTGAGTATCAATGCATTGGCAGAAATTGCAGATGAATTTTACTGGTGAAAAATAATAACCCCAGGGATTTTGGTTTGGATTTTTTTTTCTTTAATAGCATCATTGGTTAAATCACCTTGATTGTTATTTCAACTGATGAGTTAACCAGCAATAATTGGTTTAGTTCTCAGGCTGAGAACCTGCACTGTGAGGCTGATATAAGCTACAGAATATGCCTTCTGGCAAGTAATAAAGGTGTTTTGTAATATAGACACACAACATCTGTGAAGGAGGGTGTGTTAGAAGAGTATTTAATTAAATTAGTTTGTAGTCTTGCAGAAATTACAAATGATAATTTGTGCTAAAATACAGCAATTTAGAGGCACACATTAAATATTGTTGCTGTCAAATTTTGCCAATCCCCTTCCCCTCATCTACATCCTCATCCTGCAGCTGGTTTTGCAGTGGCTTTTGGAGAGATACAGACAGGGAAGTTTTAAATATCAGCAGCTAAATAGAGCCACGTCTGACCAATTTATGTGCAATTAATTACCAAGGAAAGCAAGAGAAGTGGTCTTGGTTTTTCAGTGACTGCAGAACCTTTACTCTCACATATTTAAAGGTTGCTTTTTCACATTAAGTTTTCCAAATATAACGAAGTGCTTACAGATGTAGGTCTTCAAGATTTTCCCCATCATGGTGAGGCTTGAATAGTTGGTTTTCAGGTAAGTTGGAAACCAGAAGTCCTGGCTCTAAGTAGTTTGTACTGGGAAGATGGTCCCAGGCAGATAATAATTGGAATTAAAATTATTAATGTATTAATAATTTATATTAAATTTATCTTACAGAAAGACCTTTGTTTTAATAAGTTAAGGTTTTTGTCTTAAGTATTGTGGTCGATGTTATTGTAAATACTTGGTTGTCATGAATAATAGAATAATGGGATCCATGTGATTTGCAGGTCAGTGAAGACCCTTGAGTCTTAGATGATAATATTTCATAAATATTTCATAAATAGGAATATCTTAGATGATAACATTTCACTAGAAATCGATGCAGAGACCTGTTGGATAATTTTTATTCAGAAAAAAAAGTGGTCAGGTTTTTAAGATACTTCCAGATAATTTTTATTAAAGCAAAAAGTTTTCAGGTTTTTAAGGTACCTCCAGATAATTTTCATTAAAGTGGTCAGGTTTTTAAGGTGCTTCCAAATGAACCCCTCTGAATTTGTTAGGATGTGTGCATGACACTTGTGTCTAATTGGCAGTTCTGAGTGAAAGGAAAACGTATCTCAGGAAAAAAAGATACTGTTTGCTTGAATAAAAACTAGTAACCCATCCATCCTTCACGATTCCCCCCAAAAAAATTGCAGCACTGCCTTTATATAATCATTTGTTGCATGAGAGACTCTCAAATTTGGCCAAGTTTTGAGGGTTAAAAATATGATGCAGAGACACCTCAAGAACTTAATGATTTGTCATAAATTTAGCTAAGAAATTGTTTAGTAGACGATAAAAAAATTCGCCATTAAACACGATAAAAAAAATTCGGTGGATTTTCCTTCCACCGACCGGGTGCCAAACTTCTGCCTCCCTTTCCACTCCCCCAAAAACCTTCGTGCCCCCCACTCCCCTAAAAAAAAAATAAAAAAAAAATGAAGAGATGGAAGGAGAAAAGGGGGCTGGAACTAATTTTATGGCTGAGCAACCTCACAGTAGAGAAACAGCCGGAGCCTAATAGGGGTCTTTGTCTGCGTTTCCACCCTGGCTGGTAACGTGCCAGTCAAAAGTCAAGCAGGAGAAACAGGTGGGAACTATTAGACCTGTCATAAAGTTTGAAAAATTGATTCTGGAGGCCCGGGGAATAGATTGGACTTGACAGTGTTGTCCTAAAGATTCTAAGGGAAAAAATTCTGTCGTTTAATTTGGGAGCCCTTGATTGTTCATTAGCTCTCCAGATGGCAGGTCGGGGTGGTTTGGAGTATTAACTGTACTATCCCTGGCCTGGATTTGGGTGTCCTGAGGTAACAACAGACTGGGAATTCACCTGGAGGTACCCCAAAAATTAAATGGCATCCGCTTCGTTGCCAATTAAAAATTTGTTTCAATGTCATCCGGTTTTAAAGGCTCGATGTGGTGGTTTGAGACCCTCAGAAATCTAAATTTCCAAGTTCAAGCCCCCTTCCCACAATTTGCCCCAGCGTGAGGAGGGTTTTCAGACAAAACACAACTACTCAGCACTGGGGGAAAGGGAAAATACAAGGTTTATTTACATACACGTACATATAGGTAACAACTTAGCGATCACTTCTACAATGAAATAATATATTTACATTGGATTAAATTTCTCTTTTTCCTTCAACAAGAGTCCAAGAAGAAAAAGAAGAAAAGTCCTCTTGCCACTACATTAGATAAGTCTCTCCTTTTCTTCCACAAAGAGTCCAGGAGAAAAAGGAGAGGAAGTCTTTTTTCAAGCTACAGTTCTTCTAAATTAAAAAAGACTAGAACCTTGGCTTTTTTTTTTTTCGTTGTAAGGAAATTCTTTCTGCAAGTTTCAGAACCTTTTTCTTCACAGATATTTATCGTAATTCCACCTGAGCAGGTTGATCTTGCCTCTCTCTGTGTCTCCTCTCCTCAGGGCACCCCTGGGATTGTGGATTTTAGGATGAAACCCTTGTTTTCGAGGCTGTGCCTGGTAAAGTGATACGAGAGTTCCATTGCACAGACGTTCCACTCACAAAGGCTGGAGATTAATACAGAAATATTTCTATTTCCAGTATTTCTGCCCGCTCTAATTGGCTGGAGTGGCTTCACGAGCATTTCATTAAAAAATAAATTCATTAGATATAAATTTCAGTTTTATTCTGTCTCTTCTATCCCGTTTCAATATTTTAGTTGGCAGAAAATTTGATTTATACATGATTAAGCCAGCATGTGATATATTCTCTATGAAATGCCATTGTGGATCCCTTTTCCCCAATATTTAAGAGGGACAAAGTGCTGTTGTTAGGAAGAGTTTGACACAAAACCGGTGAATTTTAGTGGAAGTGAAATGTGGAATGAGGTTGCTTTCATAATTGCTGAATAGGATATTTAAATAAAATGTCAGCTTAGAATAAACAATTTCCAAACAGTTAAAATATTTGAAAAAAAAAAAAAAAGAAAATCCTTTACATCATCAGTGCCCTTTTACTTTTCTGGCTTCATATTGTCAGACTTTGAAAAATTAAACTACGGCTCTAATTTTGGCAGGTGGGCATTAGGACTCATTTTATTTTAAAACTCTTGTTTTATGGAAATACAGATGCTGCTAATGCAGGTCTGGGTTAAGTAAAAATAGGGTTTAATTGAAGGAGATTGGAATGGCACTCCAGAGGCAGAAGCAAACAAGCTGAGGTTGACAAACTCTGTTACGTGCTGGGTGATTTTTAATTTGTTTTTCAAATCCTTGTGATGTTTAATTCTGTGTAAACACTGGGCCCTGTGCTCAGTCATTCCAGGCACCTTGGTGATCTCCCTTATTTTCTGCTTAAACCCTGTTTTTTAAAGAACAAATTTAAAATCATTCCTGGCTCTGAGGGTGGGGAGGCCCTGGCACAGGTTGCCCAGAGAAGTTTTGGATGCCCCTGGATCCCTGGAAGTGTCCAAGGCCAGGTTGGAGCAACCTGGGACAGTGGAAGGTGTCCCTGCCCATGGCAGGGGGTGGAAAATGACCTTTAAGGTCCCTTCCAACCCAAACCATTCCATGATTCTTTGATAATATTTGTATTTTAGCATGGTCAGACCATCCAAGTACATTAATAGTCTGCTAAAATGAGTGTTTTAACTTTAACAGTTCATATAAATTAACCCCTTACACCCTTCACCCTCAAGAATTCTGGTCGGGGAGCTGGAGAATTCCATGGTGTGCAGGAAGGATTCTTCCTTGATGGAAAGGTCCCTTTCTCTCAGGAAATAGGCACTGGATATTTAAAAAACAGGTGCTGACCAATGGGTCAGTTGCATTTGAACACTCTACATATTTTATACTTAATCTGTTCTACAGCCACATAACCCAAAATATTTTGTCTGTTTGGACAGAGAGTGCGGAGAGCCCTCGAAATATTTATATTGCCTTTAAAAGTTTAGATCCCTTGATTTTGTTTGTATGTTAACCTTTAGGGTGGGAAGGAATGCTTTGCATGATGAATGTCTAACCAAAACCCCGAAGTTAGATACTGATGGCAGTAGACCTGCTCTTTAATCTTACTTTCCTTGATATAAGATCATCTTCCTTCACTCTTTACATCATTGGGGTCGCTAACTTTTTAACTTCCTATTTTATTTTTTAATTTATAGGATTGAAAGGCTTTTTATCCTCAAAAGAAGAAAGTTAGTGCATTGAACACCTAGTTAGGTGCTATTTTTCCTTGAGGTTTTTTTTATATATTTGATATTTTGGCCCTTCCTTGGGTGCTAAAAATCAGCTCAAATAGCAGAATGAGTTTGTTTCCCTCAAATCAAACCAAATTAATCTCAGCAGTGGCTTTTGCTAATTTAGTTTTAAATGTATAATATTTCACACTTCCCTCTTCCATTCACTTCTTGGTAGTGATTTGCATCCTCCAGCCTTGGAGAAGGCCGATAACAAAAGATCCTGCAGGAATTGCAGGAATTCCACATTTGAGAGCCCGTTCCCTTCCCCGCCCGTGGAAAGGGAGGAATTCGGGAAGTTTTTTTGGCACTGCTTTGCTCCTGTGCCATTCCCAGCCTCTCCTCTGCCGTCCCATTTTTCGTGACGTGCTGCCTGAAGGGTTTCTCCGTTGGGATTTGTCGCCTCCTTTGAGTCGATTTTCCGGGCCTTTCTTTCCCACCTGTCGCGAGCGGTTCCTGAGGGCTCCGAACAATCCCGTCCCTATTTTCCTGTCACGCACCTTGTGTGGGGGATTTTTCATGGGACTGAGGGCAAAATGTGCCCCTCTTTCTTCTTGTTCTGTAAAAATCGGTAGATTTTCTTCCTCTCCATGAAAGGGAGGGCCCCCCACTCGCAGGGTTTCTGTCGGTGCAGAGGGAGGTTTGGCATTCCCAGAGGGAATTGAGTCATAAAAAAAAAAAAAGTACTCGTTTTGCAGAGCAATTAACCCACGTTGAACTCCTAGTATATTGTATTTCCCTGCTGCTGGAAGTTCCTGAATCCGTGTCATCCTAGGAATACACACACACACACAGCCTTGGAACTCTCCTCCTTGGTTAAATATGAGAGGAAACCCTGGAAGGCTGCACAGTGAAAACAAGAGTTGAAGGATGGAAGTGGCAGGGATTCAGTAACACTTGGTTTGTTTTACATGGTGCTGTTTTCATGCCTATGTTTTAAAACTGATTTTTTCGTATTAAAGTGAAAAAATTCAGCGCTGAAGTTACAAATCGTGGGTTTTTTTCAACAAGAGGATTAACTTGGAGTATGGAATATATGTAATAGAATACAATATGCCATAATGGATATAATATCTTGTTATATGTAATATATTGCAGTATATATATATATAAAATATATATATGCAGCATTAATATATAAAATATTAATTGCAGCATATTATGTGTGTATTATTGCTGTTGGTTTGCTGACTCCAGGGCTGTCAATTCTGCCTTTGAATTTTAATTTTATTTAGTAAAAAGAAGTGTTGCCTTAAGTTTAAACTGCCCAGAAGGACTCAGGGATTAATATTTGCACCTCGTTGAGAAAGATATCCTTGTGTCCATCAAATAATCACCTTATTGTCCCCAACATGAGCTCAGATCACAAAATAGCCTTAAATAAAGTCCTGTGCTTATAGTGATAAATTAAAAACCTCAAAGGCATAAATCAGTGTAGGACATGAGCCATGCCTTAAAAATGGGAGGGTACAACATAGAAAAACGAGGTTTGTTAATATTCATAGAATGGTTTGGATTGGAAAGGACCTTAAAGATCATCCAGTTCCACCCCCTGCCATGGGCAGGGACACCTTCCACCAGCCCACGTTGCTCCAAGACCCGTCCAACCTGGCCTTGGACACTTCCAGGGATCCAGGGGCAGCCACAGCTTCTCTGGGCAACCTGTGCCAGGGCCTCAGCACTGATAATGTGGTCAGATAAAACAAACTCCCCCACCCACCCTGTCCCTAATTAACTTTATTGAGCAACTCAGGGCTTGGACAAGTCCTGGATCTGCATTTCTCCCCCAACAGCCTCGTGTTGTAATTGTTATGATCATCAGATCGATAAAGGAATAAATTGAAGGTGTTGCATTCAGATAAAACAGAATAATGGTTTGGTGTCCAAGTGGAGTC